TCTCTCTGTGCTTTAGTACAGGGGTAAGACTGCGTACATCCGACCCCCCTTACCCCACCGTAGGTAGGAGCCTTTGCGGCACTGGGGTAAATGAAAATGAAAATGAAAATGATCCAAATCTAAAACGTAAGTTAAGAAACTAACCTTCCTAGCAATTTATTTTCCGTTCCCTCTCATTTTCCAGGACTCAATCATAACCTTAGGCTATGATAGCTTGTTGACTTGAAATGTGTGGATTTTTTTTAAAGGAGAAGGCTCAAAAAGGACATCAACCTTACTCAATAAATTCAAATTGGACACTAACCTTTTAAAATTTTAATGGATCAAATAAACATGCAAGTCACTTATTTGAGTCACTTTTGGCCACTCAATCACATTTTAGTTTAATGGTGCTTCACAAAGTTAATGTTATCCATCCAAATGTCTCCACTTCTGGCTCCCCTACTATTTTCGTAATATACTCATCACACGCCTCTTCTTCGCAACTCGCTATCATTCAAGATAAACTGTGTACTCCTCCGTCCCGTTGGAATGTTCCCGTTCAGTTTACGATGCTGACTGACGATAAAGCAACTTGATCCTTGTTCACACTCCGTTTATTTTTAGTAAATAAAATTTACATATTCAGAAACTACATTAAACCCGTTACAAAGCCTGATCAAGAAAAGTTCGATAAAAATTTGATATATAAAGTTTAATCTCTCCTTGTCAATAGAAAACTGGTGCCTTATCTACTTGAATGTTGGTGATTTTTTGTGATGTGGATTCCACGGAATTGAACCCCTTCATGCCAAGGCTATTGTGATTCACTCTTGGAAGACAGAGATACCGATATTGCCGAATGAGTTGCCCAAGCCATGGTTTCTGCTCAACAAGTCACCGTCGTCATTGAGAGCTGCCGAGTATGCCAGCTTTTCAAACCTGGAGGCTGATCGGAAGTTGCTCGCGGCTCAGGTATTCGGCTTTCTCTCCTCCGCTAATCTACCCAGCTTCTCCGATTTGAATCCGACCCTCCGGCGGAGGATATGGGTCTTTCATTAATTACTCAGAGAAAGGAAGTATCCCAGTGGATTAATTCTACCGATGCAGTGCAACTCATCCAGACTTGGATTAATTGACCAGAGGTCGCTTCATTACCTGCACGGCCAGATCCATCGGCGACAAGGGGTGTTTTTTTACCTTCACGTCAGGATATGGTTCATATTCCAAATCTGATAATGACAATGGCCGGGAGCAAGGATTTCAGGATTTGGTTCATTTCCAGGAATCCAAACGCCGGTAACCAAACGTTTGTGAACTACAGAAAGAATGGCAATGGATATGTGAATGGATTCAATAGTTATGAGAGCAATTCCTTTGGTTTCGTTTGTAGCTTTTGGAGAGGATAAAGGGTTTGTTGATGACTTAAGGACGTTGATGATATGGTTAAACGGAAATGGTTGTGGGTGGCCAAAGCTTGCTAAAATAAGTTGCTTGTGTATTAAATTGGTCTATTTAGAAGTTGAGTATCCAATCCGAACTTCTTAAATAACCTTAGTGTCATTTTTTAACCTTCTCCCTTTTTTTAACATTGTTTTTATAACTTATATGGTATATGAGAAGTTGCAGTTCTAGCTTGATGTTTTGTATTTACTCTGTCGATTAATGTCATATTGCCACTGTATTATGTAAGAATTTAGAAGTGGATTGTCATTATAAAGAAGTTGTTCGGGTTTCCAGTAAATTTCCTGCATCATTAAACTTATCTTTTACCTGGGAAAAGAAAACAAAATTACAAAAGAATTAGAATGACACCGTGTACTATAATCATCATTTCAAGCTGCTTTATTAGTACTTTTGTTTCCTTTCATCCCAACCATTTTCTCCTTATGGCTTGAAGTAGTGCCTGTGTGCTAAATTTTTTGAAAGTCAAACTGTTTCATAACAATGATTTCAGCCAAATGTTTCAGGTAAAAAACTACTTATTATTCTTTAGTCTCCTGATAACCAAAATAGGCCGAATGAAGCTACCAAATGTTCTATTGGAGCTGAATCTTCTGTTTCGTATTGTGTTGCGGTCTACGATTTTACAGTGTGGACGTTAATAATGTTCCACACAAGCTTGTTATTCGTGCTGGCGTCACTGTAAGTCTCCTTTTCTTTTTTTCTCTTTTTTTTTGTAATATTAACAATAATATCAAGTCTCCTCTTCTTTATGACCTAGTGTAACTCAAGTTCAGTGTTCGGGAAATCTGATTAGTGTATGGTGTTATTTACATTTCCATGTAAATCTATGGAAACCTACTTGCTGGGGAAAAACGAACAGAAAATGCTGACAATCCAGGTAATTCATTTTTGAAAGGAAATTGATAGATCTTGAACAACATATATGTGACTGATACAAGACAGGTTTTATAAATTGAGATATTGTATTGTATACAACAGCTGTGGAAGGATGGGAAGAAGCAAGGTGAGGTGATTGGTGGGCACAAAGCACATTTGGTTGTTAATGAAGTCAGGGAAATGATTGAAAGTGAAACTAATTCTTGGTAATATCTGAAGCATGATAACTCCATAAAGCTCACATTTTTCTGTTTCAAAACTCAGAAACTTCAAATTCTCGTTTCTGTGCCGTTTCCTTATCCATAATTGTAAAGAACTGTAATATGTTTCCCTATTTAATCAACACTTTACAAACATTGTGTCTCCCTTTTGAATGTGATTTTCAATGGAACTGGGTGTCTCTCTATGTGGTTCATTGCTGGACTCTTTTGTATGTAATTTTTTCACAGTAATACGCTCTTTGTGACATTCCGTAGCTGGATGCCCAGAAAAATGTTAGATTTTACTTTTGATAAAGTAGGGGTTTAATGCACCAAACCCCCTCGTAATATAGAAATTTAGCGCATTAGTCCCATGTGATTTGAAAAAACTCTTGTGTTTTAATTAATCATGCACAGAACCTCTTTTATGAATAAATTTAATGATTTTGAAATCACTCTTCCTAATATTATGATTGAATATGCAAGTAAATATGTCAAAATCTCTAAATCATACAAAAATGTTAATCAATTTTCTTTTATTTGACAATTGAATTTGTTCATGGAAGAGATATTGCGCATAATTAATTAAACCACAAGGGGGTTTGACGTATTTTTTAAATCACGGGAGTTTAATACGCCGAATTTCCATATCACATGGGGTTTTATGAATAAATATGTATTCAATTATATGAAGAAATATGTAAAAATATTTAAAAATAAATACTCCGTATGTATTTAATTTATACAGATAGCAAAACAATGAACAAACTTCTAACATTCTAAATCATTCCCGTACTCGTATGAGTTTTTGAATTCCACCCACAATATCTTAGATTATGTTTGGGAGTGAGGGGAGGGAAGGAATTCATCTTGTTTGGGAGTTCAAAAATTGGAGGGTGATTTTGATTTTTGAAGGGTTCTTGTTATCCTTCACGATTTTTCCTTTAAATGCTTGATTTTTAAGTTTTCAAATTGAGTTTTTTGGAGAATAACCAATGAACTTTAAGCCTATTGAAAATAAATATAAATTCAATTATATATATATTCTTTGATTATAATTCTTTAATAGCTAGGGGTGGATTTGGGCCGGGCCAACCGGCCCAAAACTGGACCGGCCCGCTACTGTGCGGGCCCGGACTGGCCCGGTGAACCGGTTGGTTGGCCGGTTCGGGCCACCCGGCCCGGTGGGATCTCGGTTCGGGCTCGGGCCCTTCAAAAGGTGAACCGGCCCGGCCGGTTCGGGCCCAGGCCGGGCCAATTTTTTTTTTTTTGAATTTTTTTTAAGTTTTTGGGTTGGGCTGGGTATTTTGGGCCATTTGAGGTGGTTAGGGTTGGTTTGGGGGTGAGGGGGAGGGTTGGGGGTTAACTAGGAAAAGCCCAAAAAAAAAAATAACCGAGGCCTGCCCCGGCCCGGACCCGGGGGTTACCTGGGCCGGTTCCGGGCCTCCCATACCTTGAACCGAGGCCCGGCCGGTTCAAGGCCCGAACCAGGCCCGGCCCGAACCGAGTCCATCCCTATTAATAGCCTTTCTTTCTTTCTTTAAAGTTAAACTCTCAAACAAGAAGAATTCCTTCCCTTCCCTGTTCCCTAGGCATGGACCGGATCCGGGCCCGGCTGGGCGGGCCGGTCCAAACCGGGCTTTTTTATTGGGGGTTAAGGCCCGGAATTGGACCATAATTCTACCGGGCTGGGACCGGGTCGGGACGTCGGGTAGCATTTTTTTTGCTTTTCTAATTATTTTCTACCCCACACCCCAAACCCCTTTAAAACACCTAGTCCAACCCGCCTACCACCCAAAGACTTTGAGAAAAAAAAATGGCTTGGATCGACCAGGCCTTCCAAAGAAACCCTTGGCCCGAGCCCACCCCAAAAACACCCTTGGGTCGGGTCCTAGACCCGGTCTCGGGCAACCAGGCCGGGCTGGTTCCTGAGCCGGGCAAACCGGAACCGGTCCATCCCTACCGTTCCCTTCCTACGATTAACCTTCAAAACATTCTCTTCCAGTCTTCCCCTTCCTCCCACACATATTTGAACCGAACAAAAATAATGAAAACTAGGATTAAATTCAGTAGGTACCATTACCAAGTCATAGTTTGGATGCAGAAATCTAAATTCAAGAATGCTTTCACATTTTACAACTTAATACCACTCAACTTCATTGGGCTATATAGCCTATAGACGTTGAATACTTGATAGGATTAGAAAATTAACCTTATTTGATCATTTAATCACTTTGGTTGGCCAGAGACTCGGAGTTCATTGATTACTAAGTTGGACAATTTCATTGAGAACATCTCACGCGAAATTCCAAACCATGTGGTGATCACATTGAGGTTGTAAGAGACTCAGAGTAATTGAAATGGTTGACTAGTTTACTTTATACTATGGTTTACCACAATCAATTTTTTAGTATCATCATCTAATTATAATACATTATAATGAATGAAATGTTACTAGCCCCCTCTCCCCACCTCCACCCTAATTGTAGAAGACATTGAAATATATAAAAATGAATGAATAAATAAATAAATTTACAAGTAGCTATAAGTGAATATAGGATGATAACACGGTCTTAATAAATCAAAATTGCTATACCTATAGACTAGGAGGGGAGGAGATCTACTATATATATGTACACTAGAATGCACTTAATATGCACAATCAGCTACAATGCACTTCTCTTGTTTCCTTCTATACTCTTCCCCATCTACAGACGTTAGAAGTGGTTGGTTAAAAGAGGAGACTTTCTGCATCAAACTTGTTGGAGGAAGTTATTCTCTCCCAAGCTGCCACCATTTCTTCTTCTTCTTTTTGTCACCCTCCATTATAGGCAACTCTGCAGACACAATGATCAAGTTTTAACAGCGCTTGTCCCATTTAAGTGCTAACTAAACCAATCAATAGTAATTGATCAATAATTAAATCCAATTACCTCCTCGTGGATATATGGAGTTGTAATGCACTTCCGCCCAAAAACTCAAGAAAATAACTACAACAAAGAAAAAATTAACTCAATTATTAACTTCACATAGACAATAGCCTAAACGTAGCTTCTGTTCTGTGAATATCTACTATCTAGTGATTGATGCAACAAATAGTGTTTGCTCACTGATTTGTAAACGGAGAGAATACAAAAAATTAAAACGGAGAAAAAACTACTTTTTACTTGTCTTGACAACCTAAAATTCCTTGCCAATGAATGAGACTCTGAGATGCAATGGCGAACTTACTTCTCTTTGATATTTGTGTGTGTGGATTTATCTCAATGTAGCAGGTATCCTTGAATGATGTAATGATGAATATCTTAACACCATACTGCAACCACCATTAAAGTCCCAAAATTAGTCAACTTTCTATTAAGTGCGCCCAAGAAAAATGAAAAAACCAAAAGTATTGCTATAAACAAACATTAGTGGTTAGAAATATGTATTATGAAACATCAAATATTATCCCAGGAGGATTGGAAAAGAGCTCATAAGCAACACTGACAATTCTTCAATGTGAATCAATTATATGTGACTAGGCAATCACGATAAGTAAGTAATTTCAATTTTTTTGTACGCAACCTAGAATACACCCCTCAAGTCCTCAACCAAACTTGTTAATATATTTTCCAAAAAGCTTATCCTAGTTACTTAGGTCTTGTCCCAATACCAATTACCGTAACTCCACATGACCTTCCAGTAGGTTATCATATAAGTTGAAACATAAAACCTCAGCTAAATACCACCTTAAGTTCAGGCCACATTATTCAATTACCCTAGAGATAATGAAAAGGAAACTCTAATTTGAGGGATCGACGGTACTCGATGCTCTTGACTGAGACATGACTACAAGCTACTACAACTACTTAATGTGGCCATTGACCTAAAATGGTCACTGTATAATCTTTTATAGTGATTATAACTACTAAAAAATCATAACATCTTCCTAGGATAATTAATTTCATAAATTAGACTGGATGGTATTTTCAGTTTAGAGCAAAATCAGATGAGAGAATACCGCATCTGCAGCAGCTTGCAATGTGACATGATCACCCCATTCACCACTCCTATCATCAATATATAGTAAGAAAAAGAGTAAATTGTTAGTAGTTTAGTACTGCATGAAAAGCAAATCACCAAACAACGAGATTTGCAAATTTTGTTTACTTGCTCATTTTCTTTAGGTATTCGTCATAATCCATAGGAACATAACCCTTGTACAACTCCGGGTGGGATTTGAGCTGGAAAATAACACACAAATACAAAAGAAAAAAAAAGAAAATGGAAAATATTATTAATCTAATTGGACAAATGGTCACAAATTGAAGCAAGGAAGATTTACACTGAAATAATGAATGGCTTGAGCATATTCAATATTACCTGTTTAACAACCTGCTCCCTTGCAAACTTGTGATGCTCACTAGTACGATAGATTTGGTCTGATAGCGACCGGAACTGAAAAGGCACAATGAAACTATTAATACAATGTAAAGCTTAAGTCATATCACTTAAGACATAGCTTCAACGCTCAGCCAACATGGTTATGGAAGTCATATCACTTCCTAATGATGCGGTTTGAGGTGAAAACGAAAAATAGCTAAAGTTACACATGAGGTCATAAACAACCTAAATGCAGAAAAGCTTTTGGCTCCAACACTAAAACACTTTTAAAAAATAAATATGGGATGAAGCTAACCTGGCAGTTGCCATCTCCTGAAATTTTTAACTCAACAAGCTCATATAGTTCAAGCCTGAATGTGGAAAAAGAAAGAAGCCATTGTAGACAGACAGAGAGAGAGAGAGAGAGAGAGAGAGAGAGAGAGAGAGACTAGAGTATAAATGAAAATCTTGGGAAAAAACTCTAGAAGGGTTTTCCCCCATAAACTATTAAATGGGTTGTACACCCCACTACTTAATTTCAAAATATTGATATCCAAATCATATAACTCCAAATTAATCTTCTAACTCAGTATCACGGAGTATTAAAATTTGTAATTCTCATGCCAAGGAACCCACATAGTTCAAAGAAATATACCCCTATTAAAATTTATAATTCTCAAAATGTGAATTCCATCCAAACAACACTTTACAGTCACAAGGTTACCTAAAGAATTATCTGAGCTGCATTATTTTTACATGCACCTTGGTTCACCTGGGAACACCCAGTTTTTACTGAACCCAGGTTCACGGTATCACGGGTTTTACTTAAGTTCACCCAAACAAAAAGGAGCCTAAGGAGGACTTAGTTTTTTCAGTTAGAGTTACGACCTCCCTTTTGTAGCCTTGTGAGGATAAAAAGTTAATAAAATAATCAATGTATCTATTGAAAGTGTCAATTCATTAATGCAAAATACTCCCTCCGGTCCCAAATGAAATTCACACTTTGACTTCACACAAATTAAGTAAATAAATTTGACTTTACTGTAGAGTACACTGTTGTGACACTGTTTGACACTGTTTCGCACTGTTTGGCACTGTTTTGCACTGTTTTGCACTGTTTTGATGTAGATAATTTGCCATATAAGGAAGGGAGAAGAAGTGTGAAGTTTATTTTGGACCTACCCAAAAAGGAAAGTGTGAATTTCATTTGGGACCGGAGGGAGTAGGTGTTAGAGACTTGAGACTATCAAATAATTAAACTAAAAATTTCACTCTAATTATTGTATGAAATGTCTAGAACATCAAACTCAAAAACATTAAATTAGGAGATAAAAGACAAAGATGCTGGAAGAACCTATCCATTAGCCTCTGATGGTCTGAAGAAGCTTCATCAACTGATGGTATCTCTCCATTGATTTTAGGAACATGCTGCCAAAGAGAAAAACATTGAAAGAGAAAAGTCATAGTCAATCAACTATGGACGAAAAGAAGCTAGCTGTCAAAATAGAGATGTAACCTCTATTTTGGAACATTAGTAGCTTGACATAAGAGTGGATAAGCAATCTCTGCGCACAGATGCAAGCTTAGAAAATGGAGTACTTTACTATCCGAATATAATGATCAATTAACTTGCCAAAGATGACTATTATATTTTGGAACATTAGTAGCTTCTTTTCACATAGTTGCAAGTTGATATGGGAGAAGAAACATTATATTATTACTATTCTTATTACTATTATTATTATTATTTCTATGTCTGCTTCAGACAGCTTCTTAATTAGCATTTATCTCCTTTATACTTATTCATGTTCTGCTTTAGGCGGCTTCTTAATTAGCATTTATATCCTTTTATAATTATTGCTATTCTGCTTTAGACAACTTTTTAGTTATCATTAATTTCCTTTTACAAGTACGACTTGTAATAGCTATATAAGGGTCATCAATATTATTCAATAAACAGCTTGGGAAGAATTAATTGTTGTGTCTTGACAAGGTCGGGCACAAATTAATTCTAGCTTAGACTTACTTTATTAATCGTCTTTCATATTCTCTATTCCCTAGATCTAAAACAAGTGTGTCTTTCATACTCTATTCCCCAGAGCCATCACATTCCTGTCCAGTTCATCTTATTCCACACCTTTTCTGTTTTGTCACATTCCTGCCATTCATCTTTGCTGGTTTATTTCCTGCAGAATGTGAAGCAGGCCACCACAGAAAAGGGGTAATCTGATAACCCTAAGAAGTTTAATAGGGAAAGCCTTGATCCTTTTTCTAGCTTAGACTTACTTTATTAATCGTCTTTCATATTCTCTATTCCCTAGATCTAAAACAAGTGTGTCTTTCATACTCTATTCCCCAGAGCCATCACATTCCTGTCCAGTTCATCTTATTCCACACCTTTTCTGTTTTGTCACATTCCTGCCATTCATCTTTGCTGGTTTATTTCCTGCAGAATGTGAAGCAGGCCACCACAGAAAAGGGGTAATCTGATAACCCTAAGAAGTTTAATAGGGAAAGCCTTGATCCTTTTTCTTGATAATGAGAACACTGGTAATTCCGACTTAGAACAATGATAGGGCCCTGGGCTGTAGAGAATAATAATACTAGTAATAGATTTATATTAAATAAGTGTGGTATTTATTGTATAAATAAGGATTCTGGGCCATGTCATAGGATATGGGCTGGCCCATTAGGATATAATTACTATATAAGAGTGGGAAGGAAGGAAGGAGGGGGTTAGGCAGACATTTGGGATCTGGGATTAGGCTTGGGAGTGGGAGACGACTCGAACAGTCTCAACAATATCCGTTCTTCTCTATTTTTTCTGTCTACGCCATTGTAATCCAGTTCAATCTCTGAAATCTTCATCAATAATATTCTATTTTTCTACTGTGATATTCTGGTTTCTATCATTGGTATTAGAGCAGTTGTCCTGGGAAGCTTCCATCTAAGTCACGCGATAAAAAAAATGGAGCAGCGCAAGGAATATCTAAGGACAGAACGGAAAGTGATCGCCTCTGGTTTGCGAGCGAACACTGAGGAGCGTGTGTCTACTCATGGCGGAAAGGAACTGTGCAGGGAGCATGGAAGATCCGATCAGGATACTTCGCGCGGAAAAGGAGAGAAGATGACGGAAAAGGTTGAAAGTGATTGGGCTAAGGAGATGCGCCATAAGTTGTGCAAAATTCTTCACAGAATCAAGCGACATAGAGACAGAGCGAGGAGCCCTCCTAGACACCGTCGGCCGATTGAAAATAATCTAGTGTCTTCTTCCGTTGTTGCTCTTCCTAGTTCGCAATCGCAAACTGCTTCGCTTAGTTCGCAGGCATCCTCGCGTGCGCAGGTTTCCTCTTAGTCACAAGCACTTCCTTCCAGCTGTCTGGCGACTCCGCGAACTCCATCTCATAGTTCGCAATCGCGAATTTCTTCTCACGGTTCGTAGATGTCATCTCAAGCTGCTTCAGCTTCTTCGCGAACAGATGTCCTTAGTTCGCAGGTGACCTCGAAGTCAGCATCATCTTTTGTTGTCTCTCATAGTTCGCAGATGCGAACCAATTCTCCCAGTTCGCAGATGCGAACCAATTCTACCAGTTTACAGATGACATCTCAAGCCGCATCTCACAGTGCTCTAGCCTCATCAGCTTCATCGTTCTTACCCGATGCATCCGTTTCCAGAGCTGTTGGGGAGTCCACCACCGACAAAGAACACTGACTGGAAGCCGGCTGTAAAGTCAATCATGGAACCCGACTCGAAAAATGATACAACTCAACCGTCCCCACTTACAATGGCTTCGCAGAATCTGGGGCAAGCTGATCCTAGTGTTCCTAATGATAAAAGTTACAATCAACGTGGCACTGAAGGTATTCGAAATTCTACCACTAGGGGTGTGGAGGTTTTGGTACTGCCTATTAGGACTATGGTTGCTGCAGCTCATGCTTCGTTGGGACATTCAGTTTCTGAAGCTTCTCGAAGTGCTATGGAATCCTTCAACTCGGTTTTGGGTAAAGTTTATCATGCTACTTCTGAAAATGTTACTGTCAATCTTAGGTCAATGAGTGAAGTGTCAAAGGGAGTTGAAGTTTTTTCTAGTTCAGTACTCCCTGATGAGCAGATACAGGTAGAGGAGAATGCTGGTGTTCAGGGCATGAACACAAATTCTGCTATGGCTGAGAATGGATTGACTCACAACATTGTTTCTCAAGACACTAAAGCAACTATACCATTCAGAAAACTTCTGGTGGTTGAGCATAGCCTTCTAATTAATATGCCTATAGGGGAAAGGAAAGAAGAAAAAATCTCACATTTGGGACTTTGGCTGTTAGAGAATCTGAAATCGCATGACAGCACTACTGTGCACAACTGCTGTCAGCTGTTGAAGTTTTATGAAACAAATCCTGCTATTACAAGTAATTCTGTCATTGATACTAGCTGCCGTACAGAAAAGTGGATGAAAATTGGAGAAGTTTGCATGAGGCTGTTTGCAGACCTGGAGTTGAGCTACATCAATCTTGCATCCAGCACACTGATAGTTTCAGAAAAGAGAACCTCAGAGGACCCTCAAGAAAGCAAGGAAAAGTTTGTGCCTATTGAAGGCTTGAAGGTTAATGAAGAGAATGAAACTTCACCAGATAGATCCCATGCTGCAGAAACATATGTCAATTGGAAAGATAAAGTGTTGAAGATCCCCGCTCAGAAATCAGTGAGATACTGGGAAGGTAGAGGCACCACGATGAAGATGAAGTGGAAGATCAAGGTTGTCTCCTATCACCCACCTTGAGGACAAGGTGGTTGTTGAAGGGGGGAGATATGATAGGGCCCTGGGCTGTAGAGAATAATAATACTAGTAATAGATTTATATTAAATAAGTGTGGTATTGTATAAATAAGGATTCTGGGCCATGTCATAGAATATGGGCTGGCCCGTTAGGATATAATTACTATATAAGAGTGGGAAGGAAGGAGGGGGTTAGGCAGAAATTTGGGATCTGGGATTAGGCTTGGGAGTGGGAGACGACTCGAACAGTCTCAACAATATCCGTTCTCTATTTTTTCTGTCTACGCCATTGTAATCCAGTTCAATCTCTGAAATCTTCATCAATAATATTCTATTTTTCTACTGTGATATTCTGGTTTCTATCATTTGATATTCTGGTTTCTATCAAACAATATAGAATCAGTAGGAAAAGATCAAGAAAAGAGATCAAGAAAGCTTTATTGAAGGGAATATGTATTTACAGAAGGAATACAATGCTCAAGGACCATTCGAGATGCCCAATCTCCAAGTCTATTCTCAACAGAAATTAACAGCCTGCTCCTTCCAGCTATTATTCTCCTATTTACATCAATTATCTACGCAGGGATATACAAGCTACTAACTAACTAGTTAGTTAACTAACTAACTGCTCTTTTGTTCCTTCTGTGATAAACCTTTTTAAAATATTGAATAGGCTGCTTATCCTCATGCCTATCAGATAACTCCCTGACCTGGGTACTAGGATGTGTAACCGATTCACCACAAGCAACCCTCCATCCATCAGTTATTGCTGTTTTTAGTTTCAAACCCAGATGATGGGGACAGATGCAGTAACAACGGTATCACTCAAACTCCTGATCGAAGGCATTGACCATAGACAGCGGGCTGTTAAATATCAACTGGTAGATCTGAAGGATTCTGTTTCCAAGCTTGCGGAACTCCCAACTATGGTTGAGGCCTTGTCCAGTGCTATGCAGAAGTTGAAGGGTTCCCCAGGTCCTGACTGCCGCCGAGAAACTAACTGCTGCTATTTTGACACCAAATATTCCGAGATTGCACATTACCCCTAACCTGAATTTCCTCCATGGCTCAAACGATGCGAAAGTTTCTTTATCCAACAACGGACAACTGCCCATGCACAAGTAGGGATAGCAATGCTTCATATGACCGGCACCACCAAACTCTAGGGTGATCAACTGGATCCCATCAATTCAGCCATTACTTTGATCTGGTGATCAAAGTGCACTAAATGTTTCTGCCTGCGCTGTAGTTCTAATCCAGATGAAGATCCCACAAAGCTTACTCAAATTGAGGATTTGATTGTGCAGTCCACATCGCTACCAACTCCGTCGCTGCCACTAACCAAATTGATGCCACCAAAGAAGTTAACCCTTGAACCAATAACACCCATACCTAAAACTCTATCTCAGCTTCCCTCATTGCCTCCACCAGTCCACCGTTACGAGAAAAGTTGATTCTAAATCTTTTACCAAATCTGTCCTCATAGTGGTTGCTTGCAACTCCACTGGAACAAATTTCAAATCTCTACTGCACCTAAATGGCTAAATCTCTATGGGCATTTAAAGAATGAAGGCATGGGAGAATCAAAAGGGGAAAAGTGTCATGGTCTCCTAGGATTGTCATTGTTGTTGTCATCGTTGTTGTTGTTGTCGTCGTTGTCGTTGTAATTATTATTATTATTATTATTATTATTATTATTATTATCATTATTATTATTAGGCAGCTTCTTAATTAGCATTTATCTCCTTTAATATTTGTTCCTATTCTGATTTAGGCAACTTCTTAGTTAGCATTTATTTCCTTTTAGAATTGGGATTCTTGTAATAGCTATATAAGAATTAATAAGGGTCATCAATATTATTCAATAAGCAGCTTCGGAAGAATTAATTCTTGTCATCTTCTGTGTCTTGACAAGGTCGGGCACCGATTAATTCTAGCTTAGGCTTATTTTATTATATTATTCCTCTCTCATATTCTCTATTCCCTAGATCTGAAATGAAATCCCAACCACGCCCGTAACACAAGTCTTGTTATTTTTATAAAAAACTTAATGAATTTTCCCCAAGGAGACGACTTTAGAAAAAAGCCCATGTTAAATTACCCAACAAAAAGCGCCACATATATCATTTCATGTGATGCATACAAATACGTCTACTCACAGGAATAGAAACCATCTGGTTCAGTCTTTTGCCAACTTCACCATCAAGACTGGACTCATCTTCAATCTGTGGCAAATAAGCTTGATCACTCGGACAACCTAGCATTTCTAATGGACTAGAATATTGATAAAACATGTCACTGTCTTCTATTTCTTCATTAACTCTTTCACAACCTACCATTTTAAGAATTTCATTAATATAAATCGAATGAATGCAGCCAAAGTAGGCATAGATATAGCTTTCCTTTTTGCATACCAAACTCACCGTGTCTCTTTGAAGATCCAAGCCAATCCTGAGAAAGAACAGAGTCTTTCTGAAGTTCTTCAGCATGCGAAGATCCTGAAGATTCAGCAATCGCAACTCGCGATAATTCCTCTTGAAGTGTATGAGCAATTATCTCATCATTCTCCACGTAAGCATGTGAGGTATCATAGTGACCTCCTCTGATCAACTCAGTTTGAGGTAAGTGTGATGTATCACAGTAACCTTCTCTAATTAATTCAGTTTGAGACATGTCCTCATCATACTGTGTAATGGTGACAGGAGATCCACTATCATTGATAGAGCAAACATCTATCAGATGAAGGCCCCACCGAACGACATCAGGGTCTAGCTCAGAACATGTCATTTTATTGTATGCCACACCTGAATATCTGAACTAAAAAATGTAAACACGGAGTTACATCAGAAACATTGTATTGCAGTTGATTTGGTATAAGCACACTGCAATAAATGAAATTCATAGAACATGAAGATGATGAAATGAAAATGCAGGGAAATTGTATGCATCCTACACATCCCTTAAAAAAAGAAAAGAAAATTATGAGGTTAAACAAACACCCAAAACTCATGGGATGTCATTCATGCATATTTGATATTATTTCATTTAAAATGGGGTCAATCAGTAATGAGGAGGTTCATTTGAGGCTGCCTTACTATATCGATTATCGCCTTCTCATATTGATTTACGTAATTGTCCCTTTTCCATGTTAGGAAGCATCAAACGTGTAGCCTCTATTATATAAGGAGAGTTTGGTTTCAATAATAACCAGGCTATGAATTAAGAACAAAACATAGAAGGAAATCTCCCCACATTCCAAGGGAAAAGAGTCCCAAAAATTCCACTACTCCATTCATCTTTTAAATTGACCCTGTGATGTACCGAACACCAGGTTAATAAACTTTCGGTTCAGTTGAAGGCGTCACAAGAAATTTCATTGCTTGACGTAGAATACTACCTCCTAAAAGAAATAAAACTCCAAAGTGTATATAAATGCCTTTGTAAATAGCACATTACTAGTCTGTCTCAAAAGGTCGCGCCAAAACCCAGCAACACCACGCCATATGTAGTATGCATCAATCCAGTTCATCCATGGTTTCTATTGCCTACTCCACACATACCTCGTACACCCATACCGCCTCCTTTTGAGTTCTTCACTTACACACTTACAAACTAGTATGGAGTACCATTTAACTCCCAAATAAGCTACATCACATGATAATTTCCATCCCAATCTTTCTTTTGACCGGTATTCTGCATGAAACGCCTTTGAGAAGCTTGCTTTAAGCGCAATCTTTTATTGTATTCTTTGCTTCAAGCTGAAGGGAAAACTTGATGTTCTGTAGGCGTATACCTGTAATGGCTGCCTTTGTATTTTTTAAGAAGCTTTGTTGTAACCTTTTTAAGGAAAACGAAGACCAGATCCATTTATGTGAAATGCAATATTTCCTTGTGGGGCACATCAAGGAGGCCTTGTTTCTGATATCAGTGATATCATTTATTTCCTTTTCAAATGGAGAAATAATCAATGACCGATTGAGGAGCTCATTTCCAGCTGTTTGACTTAATTTCCTCTCGTATTGATTTATATTTTCTTTATTTAGTTGGTTGACCGAGTTTATTTTGGTATGACTTATGCCAGTGTCATCGAAGTTGGGAAGCAGCAGAACATTGTATCATCTATAATCTAAGGAGATATTGATTTTAATAATGGATACTGTGAATTTAAAAGAAAAGAAAGTGTAGGTTTGAAGAATTAATCTTCCATGTATTATTGAGCCATCCGGCAATGATATAAATACAAAATTACAGATAAGCTAAGGTTTGTTACAGATCCTAATATTTAGGATCTATCTATTCTTATCTACACTGCGTGTTAATCTAAGAGTTAGAGTCCTAAATCAACTCTACTTCCTATCTATACAGTTCCGGATGTACATATAATAAAATAACATGAATATGCTACATTTTTCTACACTCCCCCTCAAGTTGGTAAGTATATATCATACATTCCCAACTTGCTTATAAGAAACTCAAACACTGGTTTAAACAGCCCCTTTGTAAAGATATCAGCTGTCTGCTCTTTAGTAGATATGAATGGTGTGCATACAATTCCAGCTTCAATCTTCTCTTTGATAAAATGCCTGTCCACCTCAATGTGTTTAATACGATCATGTAGCACAGGATTGTGAGCAATATTAATGGCTGCTTTATTGTCACAATATAATTTCATAGGTAGGTTCATTTCCATATTCAACTCTGTCATCATTCTCTTGATCCAAAGTAGCTCACAGATTCCATTAGCCATAGATCTAAATTCAGATTCTGCACTACTTCTGGCAACAACATTCTGCTTCTTACTCCTCCAAGTCACCAGATTCCCCCATACATAAGTACAATATCCAGATGTAGACCTTCTATCAGTTATTGACCCAGCATAATCTGCATCTGTAAAGGCTTCTACACTTCTATTGTCACTTCTTTTAAAAAATAATCCTTTCCCTGGACAACTTTTCAAATATCTTAGGATCCTGTAGGTAGCATCTAGATGTTCTTGGAATGGATTATGCATGAACTGACTAACCATACTGACTGCAAAGGCAATATCTGGCCTTGTATGTGCCAGATAAATCAACCTTCCCACCAATCTTTGATATTGGTGAATATTAACTGGTACTCCTTCCTTGACATTTCCTAACTTCTGATTAGGGTCAATTGGAGTATCTATTGGTCTGCATGCACTCATACCTGTTTCATGAAGTAGGTCTAGTACATACTTCCTTTGGGATACCACAATTCCCTTCTTTGATCTGGCTATCTCCATGCCAAGAAAATACTTCAATTCTCCCAGGTCTTTGATTTCAAATTCCTGAGTAAGCTTCTTCTTCAGGTCTTCAATCTCTTCACAATAGTTTCCTGTAAGAATTATATCATCCACATAAACAATTAGTACTGCAATTTCTCCCTTAATGGAGAATTTCATGAATAGTGTATGATCTGTTTGGGCTTGTTTGAATCCCTGCTTCTTTATGAACTGAGTAAACCTTTCAAACCAAGCCCTTGGGGACTGTTTAAGCCCATATAAGGCTTTCTCTAGCTTGCACACCTTTGAGCCATATTGTTCCTCAAACCCAGGAGGAGGGCTCATGTATACTTCCTCTTCAAGCTTCCCATTTAGGAAAGCATTCTTCACATCTAACTGTTGAAGAGGCCAGTCTAGGTTAGAAGCTAGAGATAGTAGAATCCTTATAGTATTTAATTTTGCAACTGGTGCAAAAGTTTCTGTATAATCTATGCCATAGGTTTGTGTGTATCCTTTGGCAACCAGTCTGGCCTTATATCTTTCAAGTGTACCATCTGCCTTGAATTTAGGAGTAAACACCCATTTGCATCCAACCCTTGGTTTATTTTTGGGTACCTCTACAGTCTGCCATGTCTGATTCTTTTCAAGGGCATTCATTTCTTCTAAAACAGCCTTCTTCCACTCAGGTATAGATAGGGCTTCCTGTATGGTTAAGGGAATAGAGACACTGGAAAGGCTAGAGGTAAAAGCTGCAAATGATGTAGATAACTGAGAATAGGACAGATAGTTTGAGATATGGTATTTAACACATGACCTTTTTTCTTTTCTGAGAGCAATGGGTAGATTTAGATCACTGAAATTATTACCTTTTTCATTTTCTGGCATTGAGTCAGATTCATTGACAGTGGCAGGATCAGGGATGTCCTCTATTCTGTGATTTGGAACTTTCCTTTCATAAACCTTGCCAAAAAACTTACTTATCTGCTGTTCATCATCTTTCCTTGTTTCAGAAAAAAGTTTTTCATTTTCTTTTGACTCTTGACTATTTTCTAGTGCATCTAACTGTCTATTATACTGTGCATCTAGATTAATGTCAAGAGGTTCTAGTTTTTCAAGGATATGTGACACATTATTACCATCTTCATTAGGAATCTCCCCCTGAAGATGAGTACCAAAAAAAGGTTGATCTTCTACAAAAACAGTGTTCATAGTTATAAACATCTTTTTTGTTATAGGGTCAAAACATTTATAGCCTTTCTGAGTTGAAGAGAGTCCTAAGAAAACACATTTTTTTCCCTTAGGGTCAAATTTACTTGCAGTTCTGTCAGGATTGGTAATAAAGACTGTGCACCCAAAAATTTTTATGGGAAGAGAGTTAATTAGTCTAGTTTCAGGAAAACAAGTTTGAAGAGTATCAATAGGAGTTTTGAATCCTAGAGTTTTTGATGGCATCCTATTAATTAGATAGGTAGCATGTAAAACAGCTTCTCCCCATAAATATTTTGGAATTTTGGCAGAAAACATTATTGCACGAGTAACTTCAAGTAAATGTCTATTTTTCCTCTCAGCTATTCCATTCTGAGCAGGAGTATTTACACAGGAACTTTGATGAACAATCCCTTTTTCAGCAAAAAAAGTATTTAACTTCTTAGAAAAATACTCAAGTCCATTATCACTTCTCACAATTTTGATATTAGTGTTGAATTGAGTTTGGATCATTGAGTAAAATTGTTTGAACACCTCTTCAATCTCAGATTTTTCTTTAAGTAAAAACACCCATGTGACCCTTGTGTGATCATCTATGATAGTTACAAACCACCTTTTTCCTTTCAGAGTTGAAACTCTAGATGCACCCCAGATATCACTGTGTACAATAGTGAAAGGACTAGTTGGTTTGTAACTATGAGGGATGTAAGAACTCCTATGATGTTTGGCAAGTGCACACATATCACAATGAAATGATGAAGGATTTTTATTAAGAAATAACTTAGGAAACAACATTTTCAAGTAGGAAAAACTTGGGTGACCTAATCTATAGTGCATTAGGTACACTTCATTATTACAAGGAAAAACAGTTTGCAAACAAGTTTTTTCTTGACCTTGTTTATTCAATTGTGTTCCTTCATCAAAAGTATAGAGGCCATCTTCCTCTCTAGCACTGCCAATCATCTTCCCTGATGCCAGATCCTGAAAAATGCAATAAGAGGGAAAAATTTTTACACAACACTGAAGATCTTTAGTAATTTTGCTAATAGAGATAAGATTGCAGGAAAGTTTAGGAACATGTAAGACTTTGGAAAGGTTAATGGATGAGGAAATTTTAATATTTCCCATCCCTGCTATGGCTGAGAAAGAGCCATCTGCAACTCTAACTTTTTTATCTCCTGCACAAGGTTGATAAGAAGAAAAAAACTTTGGAATATAGGTCATGTGGTCTGTTGCACCTGAGTCAATGACCCACGTGTTTTTAGTTTTTTCAGAACAAAAATATGATGTTATTTTACCATTCTGGGCAAAAGAACAGGTAGGGTTTTCAGGATTGGAGATTTTCTGGGTAGGTATGAATCTGAGTAGGTACTCTATCTGTTCCTGAGTGAATGGTAGCTGTTTAGGTTCAACTCCTGCCTCTTGTTGAGTCTCAGTCACAGTAGTTTGTAGGGCCCTTTCTGCTTTCTTCTTCCCAGCTCCTGGTGGTTTTCCATGGAGTTTCCAGCATGTATCCCTTGTGTGCCACAGTTTCTTGCAGTGATCACACCAAGGTTTTTTCTTGTTGTCATCACTTCTGGCCACCAAAGCTGAAGATTCCCCAGGTTCCTCATTAGGTGCTGGGGTGTTGTACATGACCTTCTTCCTGCTATCCTCCATCCTGATTTCAGAAAATACCTCCCTGATAGAAGGTAGAGGTTTTTTTCCAAGTATCCTCCCCTTAACTTCATCTAGGTCCCTATTGATCCCTGCTAGAAACATATAGACCCTATCATTCTCTTCTTTTTTCTTATGTCTGGCCAGATCCTTAGCACTCTCCCACTCTTCATCATCATAGCATTGATCTAATTCTTGCCACAGAGATACCATTTCATTGTAGTATGAAATAATATCCCTATTTCCTTGTTTAGATTGCCACAATTTGGTTTTGAGTTCAAAAATTTGAGAAGAGTTCTCAAGGTCTGAATAAGTTTCCTTAATAGAATCCCATACCTCCTTTGCAGTTTTCATAAACATATGAGGTTTGGCAATTAGGGGCTCCATGGAGTTGAGAAGCCAAGCTGTTATGAGTGAATTCTCTGACCTCCATGTACTGTACCCTTCTTCTGCAGGTATTTTTGGTTGGATTTCTCCTGTGATGTAACCCAGCTTTCCCCTCCCATCAATTGCAAGTCTGACAGATTGAGACCACTCCAGATAGTTTGTTCCATTCAATCTATGACTAGTGATTATCATAGATGAATGAATAGGAGACTGGTAATTTGTCATAGAGCTAATTTGGGAGTTAGGGTTGGTAGTGTGTGAGGAATCAGCTTCACTGGTTTCTACCATTGTTTAAACCGAAGCTCTGATACCATGTAGGTTTGAAGAATTAATCTTCCATGTATTATTGAGCCATCCGGCAATGATATAAATACAAAATTACAGATAAGCTAAGGTTTGTTACAGATCCTAATATTTAGGATCTATCTATTCTTATCTACACTGCGTGTTAATCTAAGAGTTAGAGTCCTAAATCAACTCTACTTCCTATCTATACAGTTCCGGATGTACATATAATAAAATAACATGAATATGCTACATTTTTCTACAGAAAGAGAAGGAACACTCTAGATCCCAAAGGAGAGAGAAAACTTTCGAACACTCTAGTATAGAGTATCACCACACAAAACAGAGACCCTGCACAATTTATAGGACAGATGTGCCATATGACCTAGTTGTGTTCCAACTTTTTGAAATACATGCCCAACATTAATCCTCGCCGCATAAATGCAATAAATGGAATGAGAAACTATTGTCAAGTAGTTTTGAAATTTACTATTCTGTTTGAAGCCAGAAAAGAAGCGCAGAATAATTCCTAAAGTAGGGGTTAAATTATAAAAGGATGATCCTGGCGTCAACAGTGGCCTTATTTTCTATGAGAACACATGTGGAGTGAAACATAAGCACTCGAGCATTAAACCAAGCCCAACCTTCACAGTTGATAACTAATTCACACAAATAAACAAATTCTAGCATGATGTATCTACATGCTACCACATCAAGCACTCCTAACATTCAGATGTGTTATCATTGTGGCAATTTGCAAGGCAAAGGCTCCGAACAATGTGCATAGCTAACTGCAAGTAATTTGCTATGGGCCAAGATGATACAACAAACATCCAACCCTTATTCCCAAAAGATTTTGGGGTCGGCTAATGGGCCAAGATGATACTTCAATAAAATTCATATTGCATAACTCTTTAGTAACTGTAATCAGCTATAGCTGAGATGAAGAACTCAAATCTTTATGTTTCTCGTCATCTAATTAGTAGTCATATGATGGGGTTAAACAACAGCAGGTCAGCAGCAGCGAAAATGTGTGATTGTTTTAACTTTTAAGAGTTAATTTAGAATATCAATCCAAGTGAAAACTGCACTCATGATATCTACGGAGTAAAACACGAGACAATATTAAGAAATACGAAGTAGTAATCTGATAAACCAATGGCATTAATCTCCCACTACCCTCTTCTTCGTATCAGCTTAAAGACAACCCATTGATGTCAATTGCAGTGAAAATTCCAATCGAAGATTTGACCTTTACGGCTATGTATAACCCGATCCCTATAATCAACTTCTTATATACGTATACAAGTATATAACAATATGCAAACAATAGATAAAACAAAAAAAAAGATAACGATAATGACCTTGAATGTTAAAGGTCAGATGCTCAGGTAAATCAATCGTAGTTCTGTATTGCATACGAAACTCGGGAATTTGTATCGCAAAGAAGGATAATTAATAATCAGCACAGTTCAATATACGTGTTGAAATATATTGCGGAGGAAAAGGCGGCGTTTTTACATTGCTGGGGTGGGACCCGATTCCTTCCTTTCCCTTCGAAGCTTGTAACCAACCGATTGGGGATGTCGCTGCCGTTAGAGAATAAAAATTGTGAGAAATGGCGGATTTGTACGGGTTTAACGAGTGAAATATAAATTCAGGACATTAATCCCCCGTAATTTAAAAAATACGTCAAATCCCACGTGTGATAATTAATCAGGCACCAAACTCCCTGCAAGAACAAATTTAATTTCCAAAAAAAAGTTAAAAATGATTAGTTTTTTTTATATAATTTAGAAATTTTGACAAAGTTACTTGCATATTCAATCATATTATTAAAAAAAGTGATTTTAAAATTGTAAAATTTGTTCTTGTAGGGGGTTTTGCGCATGATTAATTAAAACACATGGGGTTTGATTCATTTTTTAAATCACAGGGTGCTAATGTGCCGAATTTATATTTCACAGGGGATTTGGCATATTTCACCCGATTTGTACCTATTCCTAATTCCTAATTAATTTAAAAAGGAGAATTGTCAAATAAGTCTCCGACTTTCATAAAAAATGCAAATAAGCCCTTTTATAGGAGACTTTGTACGGCTGTCATCATTTGAGGCGGTTTCCAATGGGATTTTTTGATGAATTTTTTTGAGCATCTTCTTAATTAAGTCTAGTTTACTCATACCAAATTTCATCTAAAAATTCAATCGAGAAGCCAGTCAAATGATTTTCTGAAGTATAATGTGTTGCCTAACTGTTGGGTGTGTTTCGAAAAAAACGAAGAAATATTAATTAAGTAAAATTAATTAATAAATAAAATAGCTAAAAGAAAACATAAAATAAGATGGAGCAGATTTTAGCCAGAGCTCGTGCTACGCACGATGTCCTTAAAACGTATTCGTCGCCTCCCACGGTGGTAGGAGCGTTGCAACGACCGTTTCCCAGGATACGGTGGCTAATGAACGATCGTTTGAGCACACAAACGAAAGTCCTGGCAAACTGGAACAATAGCAGAACACTTGGAATTTTCGGAGTAGCTGAAGGTGTTTTAGAGCTCAAAAATACGTGAGGAATGTATTGTGCGTTGTGTCTTGTTGCAAACCACCTGCCAGCTATTTATAGGAGGATTTGTTGTGTGTTAAATGGGGTGTTAATGGACCTGAACGTTGGACATCGAACAGAAGGCCTCGAGCATCTCTGTTGCGAGCAGAAGGCCTCGAGCGTCTCTGTTGCGAACAGAAGACCTCGTGCGTTTCTGTTGTGGACAGAACTGGAGCATTTCTGTTCCAGACAGAAATGGAGCATCTCTGTTCCGGACAGAACTCGACCCCTTTTGTCACTGGGAAAAATAAAACGTTACGGGAAGAAACAAAAATTAGACCGTATCTTTGAATGATAGATTTTCGGACGACATTCGTGTCCGCAGGTCGCCCGCGCACACGAGTCGCGGTTTTTCTTCTCCGTTTCGGGATTTGATCGGCACCCCCCCTGCGCGTAAGAGAGAGCCTTTACCTCTAGGAGTCTTAACTCCTTAAAAGAGACTTCCCTTTATAAGGGGGTGAAAATCCCTTGAGTTTTCCAGTGTGGGATAAAACACACTAGAAACCCATCATTTTCCCAGTTTTTCCATTTCAACGAGTGAACTTCGAGAATCAATCTCTCATTCACCCGTTATTCGTTTTTAGTGTACCACTTATCGAATTGTAGCTCTTAACAAGGACAATCCGAAACCACTTTAACCCGACCCAAATCGGAAGTGGACCCCACTCAAATAATTGCCCCAAAATCACCATTTAATGCAATTTTTTAACACATTTTTCCAACACTAACTGCGCAGTTATCTTCAAAATTCATTTGACTGCCTTCCGGATTTAACTTTTAGCTGAAATTTGGTATGAGTAAACTAGACTTAATGAAGAAGATGCTCATAAAAGTTCATCAAAAAATTCCACTGGAAACCGCCCCAAATGACGGCCGGACAGAGCCTACTATAAAAGAGCTTATTTGCACTTTTTATGAAAGTTTGAAAGCTTATTTAGTAGTTCTTTCAAATTTAAAATGACTCTATTGTGCTACTATTTATGTCCAGGTGGGCCTGCTATTCTTTACAATGTGTCATTTGGACATTTATTTCCTTTTGTTTCAGTTTTTATCTTCACCTTTTTTAAAAATAGAAAGGGGAAAATGAGTTTGGCAGTAATTTTTCTTAATAGATTTTGAAAACAAACATTGAGACATATATAACCGTGCCATAAAATTATAAACTGAAAGAAATGATTAACCAAAATAGAGAATCATTGAATCATAACCCAAGAAGATGACAATGAGAAGGAAATAAAACTATAAAGTTTAAAGGTAAAAAAAGGGCACAGATTCACAAAATAAACAGAACTAACACTTCGTTCGTGTTATCAAACTCACAAAGCAAGGCTAATACCACTTCATATTAACATCATTCAAAAAGACTTTGAAGGAGCATTTGCAACTACTGTAAAAATCTGCAGATTCGATATACACTTTCACCTATTAGGCATTTAGGCGGAGATTGAGATAATGTTTAGATTTGAAGAGAATACTAACCAAGAATGAGTAGTTTGGCTGAGATAGATTCTCCGGATGTTTTGGAGTCTTGGAGTCATAGATGTCGGATAAATCTGAAAGGAAATGAAAGGAACTTGTAATTCGTCACCGTTACAGATAAGCACAAGCGCAAAAGTGCAGATTTAGTCAAAAATGAGCTAGAGCAAAAGAAAGGTAAACAAGAGGTGAAGAGGTGCATATTTAGCATAAACCCCAACTGCAATTATTAGGGTTGTACGTAGTTACTTAGATGCCCCTAGGTATGAGCGAGAAAGAGACTTAACTGGCTTAGTATATATAGATTAGAAAGTTATTTTGAAACGTTCTAAATTCACATTATGAACTTTGAATATATGTTGTTTCCGCAACTTTAAGAGTTCTGAATATCAAATCAAAATTACACAAACATAAAACGAACCGATACATATGAGCTTTCTGCTAAATTATTAATAAATATGATAAAAATATGAGTTTTAAAATTGTGATCAGTTTAAAGAGTCTTTCCCCACCCTGGGCATATGGTGCTTGCAAGATCAAACACAAAGATAAGAAAGTGAGCTGTAGTATATGTTGTTTCCACAACTTTAAAAATTCTAAATATCAAATCAAAATTACACAAACATCAAACGAACGGATACATAGCTTTCTGCTAAATCGTTGATAAATATGATAAAAATATGATAATCACTTAGAAATCATATCATGGAGTCTTGTATCACAAAAAATCTAACATTTTTGTATCAGATCTAATCATCTTATATCACAACTTTTAGTATTTAAGGAAAACTCGATAAACTAAAAGAACTTGGACTGTTTAAAATACTAAAGAAAATTTACACTTGAGATATTTAGTTAACTAAAATGCATTTAGTTCAAGTTTTCAGCTACTATTTACACATTTCATTGATTTCTAGCCTAAAGAAAAACAAATTATGATCCAAAAACAGCACAAAGAATTACGAAACGGAGAGAACTTAAATCTACATGTATGGAATACTGCAATGACATATATCAGAAGTCAAGGAAATTAATAGAATATGTATGAGAGAGGAGTCCTAAGTAAAATAAGAATTCTTACTTCATTTAACACAAAGCTTATTAGTGTTGCATTTGAATTAGGTTACTAAGTTAATTTGGTAACCTAATTTTAGAGCAGAAATGTTCAAAAAAAATGTCTTAATGTGAAGGGTTGCTATTCTCCAGCTTAATGATTAAGTCGGTTTTATACTGAATGATTAAGTCATGCTTCCAATTAAGTCGTAAGTAAACATGATTTAATGGCTCAATGATTAAGTTGTCATTACCATTAAGTCCATTAAGTCGAAAGTAAACAACCCCTGAGTCATTATTCTGAATGAAATCCAAGAACCCTCTATATGATGTCATAAACCGTATAATATTGTGTGTGTAACTATATTTACAAAATGTAAAATTTGTATAATATAAAACTAATACGAAGATGATTCCTTATTCTGATCATTTCAGCCCGTGCTCCCTCAGTTTCATATGTGTTGGAGACAGGGTCTGATATAGGTCTATTTTATGTTTACTTTATTATTGTTTAATTTGATCTGATATCTGTTCATATCTGATCTAGTATTTCTTCGAAATTATGTCACATCAATAAAAATATATTACGAATATTGCAAATCCCATAACATATATCGTATAATGTAGCATCGACGAATTCCTCAGCTAATTACAGTTTTAAAATTGCGATCAATTTAAAGAGCCTTTCCCTTCCATGGACATATGGTGCTTGCAAGATTAAACACAACGATAAGTAAGTGCAATGTGGTATATGTTGTTTCCGCAACTTTAAGAGTTCTGAATATCACAACAAAATTACATAAGCATAAAACAAACATATACATATCTCTCTGCTAAATCAATGATAAATATGATAAAAATATGATAACACTCACTTAGAAATCATATCACGGACTCTTGTATAACGAAAAATCTAACATTTTAGTATCAGATCTAATCATCTTATATCACAATTTTTAGCATTTAAGGAAACTCAATAAACTCAAAGAACTTGGTCTGTTTAAAATACTAAAGAAAATTTACACTTAAGAAATTTAGATAACTTAAATGCATATAGTTCAAGTTTTTAGCTACTATTTACACATTTCATTGATTTCTAGACTAAAGAAAATCTAATTATGATCCAAAAATAGCATGAAGAACTATGAAATGGGGAGAACTTAAATCTACATGAATGGAATATTGCAATGACATATCAAAAGTCAAGCAAATTAACTGAATAGATATGAGAGAGGAGTCCCAAGTAAAACCAGAGTTCTTAGCTTACTTCATTTAACACAAAGTTTATTAGTGTTGTATTTGAATTAGGTTACTAAGTTAACTTGTTAAACTATATTTAGAGCAGAAATGTTTCAATAAGATTTGGAGAATAAATATTTTATTTCAATCATACCTTTACAAATAGAAGACCTCAAGACCGGTTAAATTCATTTAAGACATTGGCTAAGGGATTGAAACGTCTGAGATGTTTTCGCAA